GGTAGGATGTTTCATCTGAGTTCTCTGGAGTCATGTTTGTTCACACTAATCAGAGTTTCTAAGTCTTTCAAAATAGTTTGACTTTACACTATTATTGTCTTTGAATTATTCTCCTGGTTCTCACCTTACTCTGCATCAATTCAAAGAAGTCTTCCCAGTTTCTTTGAAACCGTCCCCCTCATAATTTCTTATGGCACAATAGTATTCCAAAATCTTTATATACCATACTTTATTCAGCTGTTCCCCAAATTGATGGGCATTCCATCTGTATTCCAATTCTTTGCCACCTTAAAAAGAGCTATAAATATTTTTGTGCATCCTTGGAGTGTCTTTGCTTAGGTTTAATCCCTCTCTTAATATACTCCCCTCCTTTCCCCTCTTTCTCCTACCTCGTTCTCTTTTCTTCCCTTTCCCTCATGTTTCTCTGTTGAGTAAAATGGGTTTCTGTGCCTGATTCTCTGTGTGTGGGTGTGTTCTTAACTAGTTCAGATGAGAATGAGGTTCAAGTGTCTGCTGCTTCTTCAACCCTTTACTACTTTTTTGTATAGACCTTTGCTTGTATACTCCAATTATGTGAGATAATTTTCCCCAACCTTCTTTTTCCTTCTTTCCTCCTTAGTGTACTCCTCTCCCCCCCACTTTTCCCATTCTTTTAAAAAAGATAACCAAGATATAACAACTTCTTTCTAATTAGGTTCCTTCTATGACCTCTAGTGATTATAGTGTTCAGAATAGTCACATATATTGTCTCATATTAGAATATAATAAGTTTATCCTGTTTTATTCCTTTATGATTGTCCTTTCATATTTATCTTTTTTTTCCCTCTTAACTCCTGTGTTGTACTTCAAAGTTTCTACTTAGATTTGGTCTGTTCATCAGGAATACTTGTAAGTCTTTAGCCTTTATATTTACAGCCAGATTTGTTTTAATTCTTCACTGAGCCATCTGATCTTCTAGGAAGGAAAAGAAATTGCCATCCTGCCATATATTAAATAGAAAAGGTTGTGCATGGATCAGATGATTTATAGCTCGAAGTAACCTTGGAGGTCACCTACTATAAGTCATTTTACAGATGAGGATATTGATGACCAGATGAAGAAGTAATTTGCCCAAGGTCACAGAATCAGAGAATTTAAGAACTGGCAGGGATCTCAGAGGCCATCTAGTATAACCCAAATCTGAAAAATAATCTTTTCTTACAATTGACTCCAAAAATCAATTCTCTATCCATCACACTACAAAGTCTTGTAAGATAAGAGATTAGTGTGCATTTAATATTAAAAATATACTCATCTAATATTAAAAATATTTAACTTTTTATAGTAAAAACAACATATCTTTAATATTAAGAGTAATAATGTTTATGTTAAATATAAAACATACTAATATACTCATTATAAAATGTAATTACAATAAAAGCCAAATTTAAACAAAAACTTTTTTTCCAGACTTTGCACCAGCCCTGTACTTTTATTAATATAGGAAACTCCCAATGAGGAAACTTCATATACTACATATCTGCTTACATAGGCTGATATCTGCAATTTATAATCTTAGAGTGTTGCTTGGGGGTACTGGGAGAGGTCAAGTGCCCAAGGTCATACAAGACAGTGTATGTCACAGGTGAGACTTGGATCCCAGACTGCCTTCTCCAGTGCCAGGCCAACTATCCAAAGGAAATGACTAGTTACTATGTTTAAAGATGCTGCTTTGAGGAAAAAAATTTAAAAGAATAAATACTTTACACAGTAAATATACCTTATCCCTTAACTTTTCCGATTTGGGTGCATTTCAATTCTCATATTTGTCTATTTTTTTTTGCTTGTTTTTCTTGAGGCAATTAGGGTTAAGTGACTTGCCCAAGGTCACATAGCTATTAAGTGTCTGAGGCTGGATTTGAACTAAAATCTTCCTGACTTCAGGGCCTGTGCCACCTAGCTGCCCCCATATTTCTCTTATTTAGAATAATTCTTTATATCTGTTTTCTCCCTCAGATTGTATATAACTCTGGGCCTCAGACTGAATCAGTTTCTGATCTCCCATAACTTCCCACTCTTCTCTTGGCTAGGACTTTCTCCCTGCTCAAGTTAATGAAAGAGAAAGAGATAGTTTTTCTTTCCAGTGTGCTCTCAGTCAGGTAAAGTTTTTTGTTTCCTTTCTATGAGATGGAAGAAGAAAAAGAAATGTAAAGCATCCTTCCCCTTCTTTTTCTAAAGAATTCTCATTGAAGTCTTTTGTGTTCTTTTACCTAAGTTATTTCAATAGAACCATTCCTCCTTCACTCCCTCCCCCCACTGTGAACTGTTCCTTGGAACAAGGGAAAACAGCTGAACAAAGCCAAAAGCAACCCACCTGCAACATTCTGCCTCTAGAATCTCCCACACCCTATCAACCAACCAATTAACCAATCAATAAGCAATCAATAAACATTTATTAAGTGCCTACTATGTGTCAGGTGCTAGATTTACAAGTACAAAGAATGAAGCAGTCTCTTCTCCCAGTGAGCTTACATTCTAATGTGGGTCACAACAAGTATGTATATAAATAGTTAAATACAAGGTAGTTTGGGAAGGAGGGAGAGCACTAGCATTTGGCGGATCAGGAAAGGTTTCATGTAGAAAAGGAGGGATGTGTGTATGTCAGACTTTGTTGTCCAAAACAAAGATTGTTCATTGAAATGAATCGATATCACTCCACTTTTGCTCAAGGCCCCTCTGCCCCTTTGACTAGATCCAATACTCAGAAGAATTTTTTTTCCCTTTGACTAGATCCAGTAATTAGAAGAATTTTTTTCCCCTTGACTAGATCCAATAATCAGAAAAAAAAATTTTCCCTTTCACTAGATCTGATAATCAGAAGGATTTTTTTTTCTTCTTTGGATGAACTTAATATCATTTCCCCTGCTCAGACTCTACAGAAACAGGATAATAGAGTCATCGAGTGTTAGAGTTAGTAGGGACATAGGAGATCATCTAGTTCATCTTCTATGTCTCCAACCCCTGTCTCCATTCTACAGATAGGAACATTGGATCCATAGAGGTTAAGGAATTTGCCTGAGCTTACACTGCCAATTCATAAAACAGAAAAAGCTGTTAGTTCCTGATTCTTGGTTCAGTCTTTCTATTACATTTTTTTTTAGTTTCTTTAGCTTGAATCTACGTGCCCTGTTAATTTGTTGGTTATATATTTCTGATATGGGTTCCCTTAGTAATGGGCTTTAGCATTGCCCTAGAATACCCAGAAGATTACTTAAGGGAACAAAGCATTTTGAACCGAAACGTGTGGAACAGTTCAAAGTTTACCTTTCTGGGCCCAAGTTTCTTCATCGATAAAATGAAGGGGGTTGGACTATATTATTTTATATAATACATATATATATGTGTGTGTGTGTGTGTATGTGTATATATATATATATATATGTATATATATATATATATGCACACATATGTATATATACATGCATATCTATACACAAACACGTTTTAAATATATATATGATGTATGTACATGTCTTAATTTTATATGTATATAATTAGAAATGAAAGATTTGATCAAAACTATAGGTTTTAAATTCTAGATCAGGCAACTGCCAGTTAGCCTTATAAGCCAGCAATTTGATTTACATGTCTGGAACAGGTTTCGATTTATCCATGGCCCTTCAGGAAATATGCACTGGGTATAATGCAACATTCAGGTAAGTGAAAAATTGTCAGATTTTTTTTTTAGTCTAGTGATGTCAAATTGGTAGCATGCAGAAGTGAAAAGAGTGTAAGATCAGGAGACAGAAGACTCAGGTTTAAATCTTGGCTCTAACACTTTCTAGTTGTGTGGCTGTGGGCAAAACTTTGAACTTCCTTGAACCCTTGTTTCCTCCTCTATCAGATTAGGGTAAAAACAGCACCTGCCTTATAGGATTGTTGGAAAGATCAAATAAGATAATGCATGAAAAGCACTTTATAAACCTTAAAGAGCTTTATAATATGACCTGCTGCTGCTACTACCACTACAACATTCTTTACAGGGTTGTCGTGAAGCAGATACTTTGTAAACCTTAAGGTACCATAGAGGCATGAGTTATGAATTTCACTTTCTTGCCTCCTTTCAACTCCACAACACCCTCCCGAATTTTGGAGTTGTTTTGGCAACAAACATTACTTGAAGAGCTCACAGTCCATTTGGAGAGGCAAGACATCTACAAATAAAGGGAAAGCTAATGATGCCAGGCCATCTTTAATAGGAGCCAAGTGAATCAAATCCATAGTTAAGTACTGCAATAGGACTTCTGAGAAGGGAGAGATTACAGAAAAGCTCATATCACTTCTTATTCAATTTGTTGGTGCAGAATAGCTTAATTAGGACTAGGGGATACTGAGACTTTAACCCCAAACCTAAATTGCTTCTAAACTAGAAAGAGACAGTCAAAGAGAAATCTGTCTTCTTTCTTTTCATCTCCCTCATTCTTCCTTCTGGCTCTTCTTATCCCTCTTCCTTCTGTTTCTCTCTTCTATCTCTATCTCTCTGTAAAATAATGAGAAAACAGGGCTCTTGCTATTTGTTGAATTCAAAGCAGGGAAGAGAGAAAGCACCTGTTCCTGGATAGGTACTCTAACGAGAATTTTGAGGGTGTCCAAGGCAAATGAGCCATCCAAATTTATTACTCACTTCCCCCTTTGTTCTCTTTTCTATTCTGGAGTCGTCAAGGGGGTGGGGGAGGTTAACAGGACAGAGAATTTGGGTTGAGGTGGGGACCCAAGCAAAGCTGCCCATGACTGCAACAAGCAGCAGATCTTTGGGTTACTGACTGCTGGCCTTACCGTCTCACCTAGTGGTACAACTACTACCACTGTGCCTCAGACCACTGCCCCTAATAAGCCAGCCTGACATATGGTTGAGTGATTTTGGTCTAAAGAAAGTTTCTTTTTCTCCTTATTAGATTATACTTAGCTTCCAGTGCTATCTCTGGATTAAATGCCTAACCAATTGATGATACTGCTTGCAGGTTCCTCGAGATAAAAGGTTGCTCACTGTTTGCAAAGCTACTGACAGTCAAGAAGATCAAGATAAAAGGTAAGGAATTATCTTACTATAATAAGATATTTTCTCTACGTTATATTATATGTAATGCATATTATATACAGATATGCATCCTGAGATTAGAAATCCTCAAACATAGAATTTCAGACCTAGAAGAGACTTAGAGATCATTTAATTTACCCACCTAATTTAAAAAGATTTTTTAAAAGCTATATTAAAAATTTTTAATTAGCAAAAATATTTTCTTCCCTCAAAACTCTCCCAAACCCTCCACCCTCCCCCCAAAAAAAGTGGATAGAGTGCTGGACCTGAAGTCTGGAAGAATCATCTTCCTGAGTTTGAATGTGGTCTCAGACATTTACTAGCTGTGTGACCCTGGGCAATTAACTTAACCCTGTTTGTCTGTTTCCTCTTCTGTAAAATGAGCTGGAGAAGGAAATGGCAAATCATCCAGTATCTTTACCAAGAGATCCCCAATGTGGAGTCACAGTAAGTCAGGCAAAACTGAAAAATGACTGACCAACAACAAACAAATATGCAAAGTCAAGCAAAAGTAATTACTGTATTGAGCATGTCTAAAAAACATGTGTCAGCCCCTGAGTGCATTGTCTCTCTGTCAGGAGGCAGGTAGTATGTTTGATCATGATTGGTTATTGGGTTCATCAGCGTTCTTCAATCTTTCAGAATTGATTCTGTTTTACAGTATTGTTGTTAATCTACAAATCATGCTCCTAATTTTGCTCCCTTCCCTTTGTATCAGTTTTTATAAGTTTTCCCTAGCCTCTCTGAACCCATTCCTTTCATCACTTCTTAAAACACGATAGTATTCTGTTCCATTCATTCATATATCATACATGTTTCAGTCATTCCCTGAATTGATAGACAATCCCTCACTTTCTAATTCTTTGCCACTAGAACAAGAACTGCTGTAAATATATTTGTACATATAATGTACCAACCTAATTTTACAGATAAGGAAACCAAGGCACTAAGAGTGGTTGAAGGACTTGCCCTAGCTTATGCAGCAAGACAGAGGTAGAACTCAGGTCTTAACTTCTGTTCTTGTTTTATGTTCTTTCAACTACACTTAGCAGAACTTTTGATTCATATTGATTGAAAAGAGCAGTATTCAATGGAAAAGCACTCTTGAAAGAAGAATAGGAATTGGAGATTTGTTCTCCTTTATTTTTCTTTTTCATCTGGAAACAGAACTGGCCACTTAAGAGAAGAGAGTAATGAAAGGCTTTCTTGACTCAAAATATCTCCCTGCCTTCTCTGCTTCATGAGATTAATAGCATTAGCTTCAGTCCTAAGAGGGATAACATATCAGCTAGGATTAGGTTATCTGAGTGATCCATTATTACAGGAGGAAGACCGTGAAGGAATAGGACACAGCCTGGGAAAAGCATTGCATTCAGAATCAAATGGGTTGGGTTCAAGTCCCAGCTTTATGACAGACTACCTTTATAGCCTCAAGCAAATCGATTCACCCCTGCATGTCTCAGTTTCTTCATCTGTAAAATTAGACGATTGGACTAGATAGCCTCGAAGGTCCCTTCCTGCACTAAATCTATGATCCTAGCATGGAGAGGAGGGAAAGTAGGTTGAGGACATTTAGTGCTCTGTTACTGTCCAGGCTAGACTGAGACACTTCAGTGTCTGGGCATGCTGGGCATCCTAGAAGCCTGAAAGGTCACTTTGAGCCTTTGGGGAAGAAGAGAGAAGCAGGCAGTGAATACTGAGTTAGGAAGGAGGGATACTAAAGGCAAACTTCACTTATTTCACAGTTTTATCCAGAGATAGGACCGATCCCAACATAACATCTCCATAGTATTTTCACTTCTAGATAGCAGCTCTCTTGGGTAATACCCAAGACCCTTTCCACCAGACCTCAGCTATTGGGATACAGAATGCTTTTTCTGCCCTATTGAATATCCTGCCTGTGATGGTGTGTGTACTCTGTGAATCTGACTCTCCTGCTCTATTTGGAGTTTCTGTGTGACAATGCTGCCACTTGAAACACAACAGTGAAGACAAATCACTTCCCCTACCTTATATATGTTTCAGGTCAGGGTCAAGGTTGTGATGTTTTTCCACCAATCTGTATTTATTGATCCTGTACCAAATGAGCCACAATCTGCTAAAACCTACACCTAGAATTAGCATCATAGGGTTAGAAAAAGGGTACTTTTTAAAGAGATTAATAATTTTTATTATACTAATTTTTTAATTTAATATTTTATTTTTGCCAATTACATGTAAAAACAATTTTAACATTCTTTTTTTTTTAAATTTTGGGTTCCAAATTCTCTGCCTCCCTTCTTCCCCTCCCCCCTCATTGAAAAGGCAAGCAATTGACATCGGTTATACACATGTAATCATGCAAAACACATTTAAGGATATGTTTTACAAGGTCTGATTGTGGGGCATTAGGAAGAGCCCATGGAGATTAAGCCAGAAGTCATGGGATTGTGTACCAGTTCCATCACTTGCAAAATACTTAACCTTTCTAGAGCTTCTTCTTTAGTTTCCTCATCTGTAAAATGGGGAACAAATGAGCTGATCTCTAGGGAAGCATTTTATAAGTCATAAAGCACCATAACAAATACAAGGTATATCACTGCTAATGAGGAAGAAAGGTGATGTTTTCCATCCCTAACTTCCTGGATGTATTTAAAAGCATATCAGTGACATCAATTCAATTGTAGCTATTATTTGGATAATTACAGTAGAAACCTTTTATAATGCCGGAATTGGAGGATGAGAGCAATACTACTTTATTTCGAACTTCATAGGCTCAAGGGTAAGTGGAGCAGTGGACAGAGCACCAGGCTTGGAGTCGGGAAGATCTGAGTTCAAATTTGACCTCAGGCATGTCCTAGCTGTTTGACTCTGTGCAAGTTACTCAACTGATGTTTGACCCAGTTGCCTCACGTGTAAAATAAGGATAATAATAGCACCTACCTTCCAGGGTTGTTGAGGATCAGATGAGATAATAATTGTAAAGTACTTAGCAAACTGCCTGGCATATAATAAATACTATATAAATGTTACCTATTATATTGTTATCATAGGACCATAGATTTAGTGCTGGAAGGGGCTATTCAGTACAACCCCTTCATTTTATAGATGAGGAAAAATGATGTCCAGGGAGGTTTAAAGTGATGTACCCAAGGTCACAATGGACTTTTTTATGGTTCTTTCTTTCTTTCTTTCTTTTTTTTAGAGAATACAGTTTGTCCTTTAGAAGCAAGGCATATCATAGAGTAGATAGCATGCTGGACTTGGAGGCAGAAGAGACCTGGGTTCACATCCCACTTTAACATTTATAAGCTATGTGACAATGAAAAAATCAAGTTTTCTGAGCTTCAATTTCCTCATCTGTAAAACCGGCATAATATTATAACTATAGTCTCTATGTTACAGGATTATTGTATGACTCAAATGAATTAATGGAGGAAAAGTACTTTGCCAGCTTTAAAGTGCTTTATAAATGTCACTAAAGATAAATCCATTTAATAATGGGTGATGCTATAATAGGATTTTACTATAGGATTGTAACTATTTGCGTATTGAGGTCTCCTTTTGTTAAAATAATATGACATTGGAGTGATATGGTTCCATTTTTGAAAAATAGAAGATATAATATACCATTTCTAATCCTTTATTTATTTTAAATGTTTTAATTGTTTTTTTTCTTTTTTGAAACATCACCATCACTTCCAGATGTCTCCTTTAACCCAAATAATTGAATCCTCTTTTATGACCAAAAAGTATAGTCAATCAAAGAAATCCTCATGTTGATCATTTCTGAACATATGCCTCATTGTGCACCTATTGTCTACCACTCCTTTATAGATAGGTAGGGGATATAATTCACTATTAAGTCCTGGAAGTCATAATAGGTGCCACATCTATCAGAGTTGTGAAGTCTTTCAGTTATTATTTTTCTTTATGTTATTGTGACCATTATGCAAATTGTTCTGGCTCTATATTGGTTCATGTAAGTCTTCCCAAGTTTCTCTAACTTCTTATTTATCATTTCTATGGTATAAAAACACTTCATTGTGTTTATCTACCATTATTTGTTCAGACATTTCCCAATTGGCAAGCTAACTTTCTTTCTAAAGTTTGGTTTCTTTTATTCATATGATGCTTAAGCACATTTTTAATTCTGTCCCAAGTAATTCAAATAATCTCCTCAATTCTAGCAAATTTCTTTGCAAATGTCTTTTTGTAGCTTCCTGGTTTGGGCAACTATGACTAAGCACAGCAGTTTCTACTTCCCTGGATTCTTGCTACTTAAATAGATTTAAAACTTTTGATTTGCCCTTATAAGGAATTCTGGGGTTAGGTAAATTTGGGATGTCAAAGCAAACTTCACACAAACTGAGACCAAAGAAATAACACTTTTAGGGTTTTAAATAGAACCAGGGAATCTGGGATATGTCAATGGAGAAAGTGAAGGTTAGCTTCAACTGGGCCTTGGTGTGGTCTGTGGAAAAGATGGTCAACCGTGGGGAATGTTTGGGCAAATCCATTTGGGACTTGTTTCTACATGGTGCATGTGAAAGTGGAGGCTGGGCTGGTCTGTGCTTAATTTCGTCAGAGTAGATAGTTCCTTGAGGCTTTTGGCTCCAGCTATGCCATTTGACTGTCTCTGTTGATCAGGTTAGACATGTGCATTTCCACATCTTCACCAAGTGCTATGTAATCACAGTCTTAATAAGTCACATTAGTGAAGAAATTTGATTATTTCCAGAGACATTATATTATGTTGCGGGATTCTGGTGGGACTGAGTCTTTTGAGTAATCCTTCCTATTCCTTTCCATTCCCTTCCCCCTCTCCCTTGCTCTTCTTTTCCTCTTACCTGATAGTGGGGCCAGGGAAACCTATAAGTGCCTTTTACTTTCAAAAACCATGTTTTTTTAGGGGAAGGAAAGGGGGGGGTGATTAATTAGCTCTGGAAAGTACTGAAATAATGGAGATTCCGCTGGTAACATTTCTCACCATCAGGATGAGCCTCCTTATGAGGCACAATTTAACTGAAATGGAGATACCTGCAGAATCTTTCATTTCAATCCAGCAGAACAAGTGTCCAATAAGTACACTGTGATGGGAATAGGGACTGGAGCTTCAACCATTGGCATAGACAGGGAAATTTCCTCTACCAATGCAGATTGATACCTTCTCTTCAATTTAGTCTTAGAGCACAGTTCCCAACATGTGGTCTGGGGATCTTTTGAGGTCCTTGAGACCTTTTCAGGGAGTCTATAAAGTGAAAAATACTTTCATAATAATGCTAAGATGCTTTCATTTCTAATACGGTAAATATTGGTAGATAAAATCCTTGCATAAACAAAAGCTTTTTGGGGGAAGGGGTCCTCAATAATTTTTTAGAGTATAAAAGGATCCTGGTACCAAGGTTTGTGAACTGCTGTCTTAGAGTGATGTGCTCAGCATCAGCCCAGCCAATCTGTCAGTGAGGGGGCTCTGAGATTGGCTCCTTACCTTCCACACCACGAAGACTATAAAAACAAATAAAAATATCAGACCCGTAGAGACTACCTTGCCCAGAATCACACAGCTAGTAAGTATCAGAGGCAGCAGTCAAGACTAGGACCCCTAGTTTTGATTTTAGATGCAGCACCTTCATTCCACCACACCACCAGGCTAGGTTCAGTCCATAAACATTTATGAAGCATCTTTGTGCCAGTCACTACTCTAAGTGCCTGGGATACAAAGAACAGCAAAAAACATAGTTCCTGTCCTCAAAGAGCCCAAGTCTCAAGTCTCTCCCTATTCCAATATATCCTCCATTCATCCAGTCACTTCCCCTACTAAGGAAACTCCAGTAGCTCCCTATTGCCTCCAGGATCAAACATGAAATTCTCTTCTTGGTGTTCAAAGCTCTTCATTACCTAAAGCCCTACTACCTTTCTTATAAGGCATCTTATACTTCACTCGCTACTACACAGTCTTTGTTCCAGTGACACTGGCCTCCTGAGAGCTATATGAACAAGATATTCCATCTCTCAGCTCCAGGAATTTTCTCTGACTGTCCTCTATGCCTGGAATGCCCCCTCTCCTTATCTCTGCCAAATGGCTTCCCTGCTTTCCATAACTTCCTTTAAATCCCAATTAAAATCCCATCTGCTATGGAAAGCCTTTCCCAACCCTAAATTGTAGTTCCTTCTCTCTCTTAATTATTTCCTCTCTATCCTACCCTTATTTGTTTGCTTATTGACTCCTCCTTTAGACTGTGAGCTCCTATAGGTCAAGGACCGTCCTTTGCCTCTTTGTATTCCCATCACTTAGCCCAGTGTTTGGAACATAGTAGTTGCTTAATAAATGTTTATTGACTAAAAGCTGATGAGAGATACACAACTATGCACATACATGGTATAAGCAGTGTAAATGAGAGGTAAGATCAGAAAAAAAGGTACAACAGGTAGGGGGGCAGTATAAACCGCTAAAGACCTCTGTTGCAGAAGGCAAGATTTGAGCTGAGTTTTGAAGAAGGCCAAAAATGCCAGGAGATTCTGGAGAGAAGGAAGAACATTTAAGGCATAGAGAGAGTCTTTGAAAAACATGGAGTGTGCAGTGACCAGTGACCAGAAGACCAGTGTTGCTGGATTGTAGAGAATGTGGAGGGGTGTAAAGCATAAGAAAACTGGAAACGTAGGAAGAGGCTACATTGTGAAGGGCTTTAGAAGCCAAATAGGATTTTATGTTTGATCTTGGAGGCAAAAGGGAGCCACTGGATTTTACTGAGCTGGAAAACATCATGCTGAGTATACATAAATGAATAAGCATGGTATGGTCCCTTAGACCTCAAGGCATTTAAATCTAGTAGGGTCAATAAGACAGGGATGCAAATAAGTATAATACAGATTAGAATGTGGGTGGGATATAGGAGTGGTAGGAAAATATGCTAGGAGAAATTCAGGGAGGGAGAAGTGCCTTCTAGTTAGGGGACTGGGAAAGCCTTCATGAAGCAGATGGCACCTGAGCTGGCTCAGCTTCATAAAACATCAGTTTGCTGCCTCTATTTCTCAACATTCATGAGTAATTCACAAAGAACTAAAAGTTCTTAGTGGTTAAAATGTGCAAAAAATAAATGAGGTTGACTACCAGCACTTTTTCCCAGTTATCTCTTTGCTTCTTACATTGGCTAGTCCCTCATACCCACATCAGAGCTGAGAGCTTATTTTTGTCAGTCCCTCTCCCCTGCCCCTACCTATTTCATGTGAGATCTATGAGATTCTTCCTGATTTAAGCCTTATTGCTTCATCTCTCCAAACTTCAGAAAATACTCTAGACTCAGGCTTCCCTGATCATCCATAATTATTTCCTTGGTTTAGTTGAAAATTTTTGTACCCAAGTATCAGCTTGTTTTCATCTAAGTGGTATCTCTAGGAAAAGAAAAAAAGTCACTTAAAAATGAGTCACTCACCATGTTTTTCTTCTTCATTTACCACCCTCCCCCCTTTTCCCCTCTTTTTCTGTGTTTGGCATGAACAGAAACTGCCTTGGGACTAGTGAAGCCCAGAGCAACCTGAGTGGAGGAGGAGAAAACCGAGTACAGGTCTTAAAAACTGTTCCAGTTAACCTTTCTTTGAACCAAGATCACCTGGAGACCTTAAAAAGGGAACAGTACAGTGCAAATGTGTCTGAGGGTTCAGCAGGCTGTGTGGCAGGAGTAGTGGTGGTGAAGGCTGAAGAGTTTACGCCCGTCTTCATGGCCCCCTCTGTGCAGTACCCCAGAGGAGAAAGTGAGGAGCCCCGTGGTGTCATCTTTGAGCAAAATCAGTATGAAGTACCCAGCATGGCTCCCCATGCCAACTATCTCAAGGATGACCAGAGAAGCACACCAGACAGCACTTACAGTGAGACTTTCAAAGATGGCGCTACAGAGGTGAGTCAATTGTAAGTTAGTGAATGAATGTCTGATAACTGGGCATCCAGTCTTAGATTTCCAAAAGGCAAATGGGATACATACAATTAACTGAAAGTTTAGCATTTTTTAGTATTGGAATAAACCTGATGTGTATGTGGTGGGGATATGTATTTGGGAGAAGTTTTTTTGTTTGTTTGTTTCTGACATCTTAGCCCATTTGTTTCTTTTAAATTAATTTGGATTTTTAGCCTTTAAATCTAGGTATATTGTTTATGGAAAATGTGGGAAGCTTATATAGAAACCCAAGTTTTTAGAGCTAGGAATATTTTATGGAATCTGTATTTCTGTTTATAATCTTGTCATCTTTTATGGTTTGCTGTTAAGCACTCCAAATGTTGCCTGAATTAAGGTTGCCATCTACTTGGTTTTTGACCTGTATTTGATTGTACTTGTCCAGTAGTTCAAATAGGCCTTTTCAATGTTCAGAAAACATCTACTTTTTAAGACCTTTTAAGACCACCAGAATTACGACTGGGATTGGGACAACTTGAAGAACAGTGGTTGGAGAGTACTTTGGAGCCCAGCCAACTCAAAGCCTCATGAGGTCTACTACTGACCCTGAAGCACTGTCCCCTCCCCCCTTCCTAGTGTCCTATGCTTCTTCTGAGGCCTACCTCCTACCATCATTGGCCCCAACACCCCTCACCTTCCCTCCCACCCCCTACACAGTGACATACGTGTCACCTTCTTTCTTTTGTTTTCTCCTTCTGAGGGATTGGAGGCTGGGGGCTGAGAACTGAAGGATAGGCTGCCTTTGTATTCCCATCACCCTAACCCCATATGAATTTGCAAGAATTTCTCATTCCAGTTCTAAAGATTTCATTACTGTGACTATATTTTTGTGATTTTCCAAACTTTCTGGGACAGCATTAGTGTTAGACTCTAGCAGATATTTATCTAATCTTTCAGACAAAGGCGGGGGGGTACAATATTACCAGGGTGGACATGTCCATTCATAGAAGCAACTAGAGAAACTTACCCTTTCCTCTATTTCGTAGATGACTTTGAAAAAACTTTTTTATAAAACTCTTATATTTTCTTCCTATTCGAGTAAGATGACATCCTAAGGTTAAGTAAATGTGCATACAATTGATGCTTTAAATGTTCTAATTTATAGTAACTCAAGTACATAAGGTGGCACTTGCTTATTTTTTTTAACTTTGCACATGAGTCTCCCCCTCATCGTCCTCCTGCCTTCCAAGCTTTGTCATCTCCATGGAATTCCAGAGGATGCATGCAGCGTAGGGGTAACAACAGGGTGGTAGGCAGATTTGCCTGTGCAGAAACTACCTTTCCGCAAGAGCATGCAGAGACTGCCCAGGCCATGCCCCACATACCCCAGGCTTCTTTCCTGTTTATTCCCATTAATTGATCTGCACAGAGGAATTCTGTTTGCATGAGCGTGGTCGTGAGTACTCACTGTATGCATATGTAGTGAAGCCAAAGTGCAGTGACTTAGTATTGGATAGATAAGATGCATTCCCTATCCTGGGAGCTACCACCTTTCCTGCTCTTGGAGATCAGAAGTAAAATTCGTAACATCATTTTAATAACTTGTATTTAAAATTCTTTTCCTGTCTTCTGATGTTTTCAAAAATATTTGTTGAGAACAATTTTTTTTAAATGAAGAGAGACTGTGCTGTTTTCAGTCATTGTGGATGTTCAGAACATTAGAATGGAATTTTTCTGTTTTTCTTATGGTATCCTTGACACAGAATACAGCTCCTGGCACATACTGAGTGCTTAATAAATGTCCACTTGGTTGATTCAATCAACCAACATTGATAAACACTCGATAAATATTGTTTGTCAACAAATATAAGAAATCACATTTTGAGAGCTGGGATTTATCTCTGAGGTCATCTAGGCCGGTCCTGTCACTTTACAGATGAGGAGACTGAGGCCCATAGAGGTTAAATACCTTGGCACTGGTCACACAGGTAGTAAGCATCAAAACTGGAATTTGAACCCAGCTCCTCTGATTTCACATCCAATAGATATTCCACTGTACCAGATGTATAGAAAGAGACCCTTACTCCCATCAATTTGAGGACAAATGGATGCTCCTTCACAAGAGAAAAGCCGGTGATATATTTTTAGACCACATATAGGTCTTTTCATTTGGTTTCTGCATATTAATAATAGCTAGCTTTTACATGTAACTTGACAGTTACAATGAATTTTACATGCATTGTTTAATTTGAGGCTCAGAACAACCCTGTGAGGTGAGGGAAGGAAAGGAAGGGCATAAACACCTGCAGTGTGCCAGGCACTGTGCTAAGCAGTTTTTAAAAAAACCACCAAAACAAATATTCTCTCATCTGATCTTCATTTAGATCGTGAAAGGTAGGTAATGTTCTTATTCTCATTTTACAGTTGAGGAAACTGAGGCAGACAGTGGTGAAATAATTTGCCTAGCTATAATACTACGTACATTAGTTATTAAGTGTCTGTGACATCAGATTTGAACATAGGTCTTCCTGCCTCCAAGCCCAATCGTCTGTCCACTGGGCCACCTTACTGTCTCTGTAATGCAACTATTGATATCTTCACTTTACAGATGAGGAAACAGACTTGGAAGGATTAAGCCCAAGGTGACATGTTAGTAATTAGTGGATGCAGCAGTAGAGGCCAAGACTGACTCAGAGTTCAGTGTTTTTACCCCTCTACTATACTGCCTTTCAGAAGGACTTAGGCACATGGTCCAATTGGGCAATGGAATGGTCATGATATCTAGGTGGTACGTTATCAGTTGTATTTGTGTTGCAGATAAAAGTTCTATGAACAGAAGTGATTGTTGTTTTTTTAATATCAAAGTCGAAAAAGGGGGTCTAAAGGAATTCTCTGACCTTACCAGAAGCTAAGTGTTTGGGCTCAGTCCCAATGTTTTTGGTTTAACTGCTTTGTGGGGTTTAATCATTGCAGCCAAAATCAGCGTTTGCATTGGGCTTTAACTTGCCTGCTGCATTTCATTTTGATAGGAGTTTTAAAAAAAAGTGTTCTAGTTATAATCTTTTGCTATAGTACTGCCAACTAGTCATATGATTAGGCGACCTCTGAGTAAAGTTCTTAAGGAAATCCCTGTAGCACAAATTCTTGGTTGAAATTTATTACACTCACTGGTGGATTATTGAATTATATGGAGACCACTGGTGAATGCAGCATGCCTCAGCCTATACAAGGGAGACTAGCTCTGATGCAAGCCTGGATAAGTAGAGGAGAGGGTTGTTGCTATGAAGGGTCCAACTGATATCTCTTAAAGAACCAGTATCAGTGGAACATGAATAATCACATAAGCTTCAATTATTTTAGATGGTAACAAGATGTGTGCATAGTTTAAGAGGAATTTTGATCCCTTATTTACCTCATCTCCAGCAAGAAAAAAGGCAACTATTATCAAACTATCTAAATAAATATTTATAAAGTGCCTAAAGGCACTGTGCTAGATGCAGACAATGTTTGGAGGGAAGAACATAGTGAAGTTTAAAAATCCAGTTGCTGCAAATTCAGAAAAAAAACAAATATGAGAACATTATACTTAACAAGTAAGAGTGAGTGTGCTGTATTGCATAGGATTCCTGACAGAGTTAAAAATATCTGCCTTCACATCTCACCTCTGACACGTAAGAGCTGTGTGGGCAACCTGGCCTTTTTGCTAGCTCTCCTCATGCCTGGAATGTTTTTTCTCTTCACCTCAATCTCCTGGCCTCCCTGGCTTTCTTTAAATCCCAGGTAAATTCCTACCTTCTAAGGAAACGGTTACCAATTCTCCTTTATCCTAGTGCCTTCCCTCCATTATTTAAAGTTTATCCTGTATCTAACTTGTTTGGGCCTAGTTGTTTCCATGTTTTTTCCCGTAAGACTGTGAGCTGCTTGAAAGCAGAGACTCTGTTGCTTTTCTTCATACTCCTAGTACTTAATGCAATGTCTGCGAATGGTCTATTGATTGGCTGTTTGGCTGTTTAAGGCAACTCTCTAAGACTTCAGTTATCCCTTCCATGGTTTCCCCATCATAATTTCAATATATTATGGGTCAGAATAAGAAATTAAATGGAAATTTTTGGGGAGTTTTGAAGAAGCCACAGATAACATACAAAGGCCAGCAGATGACACAAAAAGTTTAGGAACTCAGAAATACACAAAATATATGTATAGTTATTATATAATATCAACACATTTTGTCTTTTAATATCATAAATAATTCAGACTTCTTCTCTGGTACAAAAGGAGGACCAAAATTTTTTATGTGGATTTTCCAGATCACAGGAGTGCCATACCCCTAACCTTCATGTTATAGAAGGAATAAGTGTATGTAAATTGCAGAAAAATTTCAGAACTGTGTTGGCAGAGAGAGGCTCCTCCCTGGGAGTTCCCTATACCAGTGAAACCTTAGGAATGAGGCCTTCCCCGCAACTTTCAGTATTCATATGTCAGAAACCATTAAGAGTTTAGACATTTTTTGTCAGGTTGAAGTCAGCGTTAAGTATTGGAAAATTCTGAATACTTCTGTGCCAAGATAAGAGAATAAAAACAACAAATAAAAACTTTGAAACAATCAGTCTTTGAGAGGCAGGTTGGTACAGTGCAAAGAGTTTGGAGGCCAGAAATTTTGGTTCAAATCTCCCCTCTGCCCAAGGGAAAAACAAAGCAAAACAAAACAAAACACATTTTTAACCAGTTCTGGTTGCACTGGCTGGCTGTCACCCATGCTTGGAATACACTCCCTCTCTAGCTTTGCCTCTTGGAATTTTTAGAGCCAGCTCAGGCACCACCCTCTAGGTGGTGAAATCTTTTCTGGTTCTCTTCCTATTCCTCTCATAATTCTGTTCTCTGTGTGTTCTCTTCTTTGTGTGCATACATATACATACATGCACACATACAACACACATATATAAATAGGTATGTGTATCCACATATGTGTGGTGTGTATATATATGTATGCGTAATACACATACATA